TAAATAAGCAAATTTTAAAATTTGCTGTTTACCAAATACAAATATGTCCTTAATGTATTAAGCTATTTCAATTTATTTTTTAAGTTTTCAGTATATATATTTTCATTTTGTAATACATGCTCTAAGTGGCCTACAATGAGATCTAATAAAAAAATAGGACAATAAAATGGCTGTTGTGTGTACTGGTACATTGGTCATTTAAGAATGATCCTCTGAAACTAGCAGTTTTTGCAGGCATTCTCCAATAACCGCCAGATTTAAATCAGTGACTTTAAAGTAAAATCTAAAAACAATCAAAACAAAACAAAACAAAATTGAGGATTTTCAATAGCCACAAAGATCACTATCAGAAAGAAAAAAAAAAAAGATTAGAGGCCCAAAGAAATTTTGGGGAGTTGAATCTAGGAAAGTGATGGACTTGATCAAATTCATACTTTGTTGGTGTTGTTATTGTTATAGTTGGTTTGTGTTAATCCTGATTGAGACTATGATCTTTATGATTTTAGTTTTATCTAGGTCTTTTGAGGCCCTTGAGAAATATTTGTTTTGGTGACGTAAATTTGACTTAATACAATTCCTTCTTTTCTTTCTCCTGATAAATCTTTATCAAATATTAAACTGTAAAAGGAAATTAACCTAAAGGCCAACCTGTTTTTGCAAGTAAATCTCCTTGGCAGTTCTCTTTCCGTACTTTTCCTGTTGTGTAGGTGCAGCTAATTCAATATACTATTTCAGTAAATGGAATTAACTGGACCTCCGATTGCCAACAACACATCCATTAGTGTACAAACAGAGTGGATAATGCAAACTACATAAGCTACAGCTGTTCCTTCTGAAAGGCAATTTGGGCAGTATTTTTCTCTTAGACTAGCCAATACTCAATCCAGAAGTAGACAAGTGAGTGCCCTAGAGAACGTTTCAATAAGGAACATAAAATTAGGCATAGTGGATTTATAGTGGATTCTGATTATTTAGAATTACAGAAATTAAGGAGTGAAATGAAAGCGGAGGGGACACAAGGGAAAAAAAATAAATCTGCTGTCTTGGGTTTCTCGGTTCCAACCTTTCCTACTTCTTCAGAAAAACCCAATTTTAGCCATTAATATATAAATATGTTCTAGTACCTCTCATACATGAAACCAGAAACTTCCATTACACTTTACATGCCTTTCAAACCATTATCTGATTCCTTTTATCTTCACCAGACACCTTAAAGAGTTGTCTTCTCTCACTTTCTTTGCATCTTCCCTTAACATCCCAGAAACTGGAATATTGCGCCTAACTACACTGCTCTTCTCAAACTGTTGTCATGAGGACCATAGACAATCTCTACTATGCCAAACTCAGTGGGCACACTTTTCAAACTTCATTTTGTTCAATCTCTTTGTGACATTTGGAAATACTGACTACTTAATCTGTTTTGAAATTCTATTTCCCTCCGCTTTCTGGGATGCTAATGCCTCTCCTACTTCACGACCTATTATTTGTCAATTTGTTGGCACCTAATTCTCCATCTACCCTTAATGCCCATGTCTCAAGCTTCCTCCTTGCACTGACTGTCTCTCTCTTCTCTCTTTGAAGTTGCAGGTTGAATGATTTCATTCATTTCCATGGCTCAAGCAATCATTGATAATGCTGACATACACATTTCCAGCAGTCCCTGATATTTTGATGGGGCCATTTTGATTCAGCCTTCAGAAGAAACCTTTTTATTTTCACTCTTGAAATGTTTGAAACTGGTAGTCACATCCTATCCCTGGGCTTCATCCCATGAAATTAAATATGTTTCATTGTTGAACTCAAATCAGTCATATAATGAATGCTTAAACATTACAGTTTCTAGAAAACAACAGAATGCCCAAATCCTTTTATGAAGCTAAGAAAATTGGACAAAAATGGCCCTGGCTCAGTTGAGTATAATATGAAGAACAAACACTCCAATTATGAATATAATTGCAAACTTCTAAGTAAAATATTAACAACTTGAATTTAACATTATGGTAAATTTGTGGTTTATTCAGGAATGCAACAGCAAAAAAACATTACCATGTAAATAGATGCTAGGTAGTCATTTGACAAAACTTAAAATTCATCCTCAAGCTCATGCTTGAAAATCAAACATATCTGATTTAGAATTATAGGTTATTCACTTATAGCTATCTTTCCATTGGATGTAAATTAACCTATTCTGGAGGCTAGTTCCACTAATTTTTAAAATTAGTCTAGACTGCCTTAATCCTCTGGTTTGAAATACATCTCAAAGTTTCCTTTACATAATATTCTTTATCCATGAAATTACATGTTTAACATCTGTTTTCTCCACCAGACTGAAACCACCTGAAGACATGCCTTGCTATTCACCATGTGTAGCTTAATATGTGTGAGTATGCATGACCAATTATAGAATTTGTGGGGTCCAATGCAAAGTGAAAATGAGAGTCTCCTTGTCCAAAAATAATTAAGAATTTCAAGACAGTGACTGCAGAGCATTAAATCAAACCCAGAGCCCTTTCTAAGCACAGGCCCCATGTGTTCTACACAGAACACATGCCCATGAAGAAGTCCTTCGTGTGTGTGTGTTTGAAATATGTTGAATATTATGCCTGGAAAATTAAGTTACAGGAACTTCAGAAAATATCTATAGACAGAATGATATCTAGCATTCAGATCTCAGACTACAAAGAATGGTCATATTAAGTTGGGTAAAAATACTACAGATAATTATCAAGAAAAGATTTTTAGGTTACCCATAATGAACTATTTAGATTGAAGATTGTAGAACATTTAAAAAGACATTAGTTAATCTTTAACAATTCTCTCTTTAAGTTGATATTCATATTGCTTTGTTTCCATTTTTTTCAGTACATTGTACTAATCATTCTGAAAATGTCTTCCTTCTTAATGTTTATTGATTATAATTCATAAACTATATACTACTTTGTTTACATATTGGCTTTTCTGCACAATTCTTGTGTCTATGAGTGAACATAAAGGTAACCACTCCATTTCTCTATTACAAAACATTGGCATATAAAAATTCATAAAACATTTATTTTTTCCTTTTCTATCTGTCTTATGAAAAATACTCTTCAGTTTATCAAAATATCAAACACGCATTTAAGACTACATTTGGATTTTTTTTTCAAATGGTATTAATTCTGTCATAGGCGAAAATAACTTGATGTAGTTGGAATGTGCCAATTTTCATATAACAATAAAAATGCCAAATGCTTTACGAATATTGTCTTCAGAGTGATTCTTCACGTTTGGGGTCAGAGTCCAGTGTGGAATTTATATCTCCTCTCCTGGAGCTCTGAATAATTTCCAATCATGCTCCCCAAAAGTTCAGTTATGCACAAGCCCTTGTTCAACCAGGTTTTATGATGATTGCATGAAAAAGGAAGATGGATTTCCTGTTGAGCAAGTTATTGGTGGATGCTCTTTTATCTGTCCCTGAAGTGTTAAAAAAATTTTAAAAACCTGCAGGCTGTGTGCAATTACATACCTCAATGCTGCTGTCAGGGATTTTAAATAAATCAATAGCCAAGCTAGTTGTGTTTAGTTACAGCATTCATTTTTACCAGTTACTCTGGCCTTCTGTTTCTCTACTCCCCACCTCCAGGCTAGGTTCCAGTCAGATGGAAATACTTGGCTTTCCCCACCGCATTCTGCCTCCAGTTCTCATTTGTTTCCCTTGTTCTCTTCCCCTTTCCTCCTATTCCCCTCCTGCCTTCACATACTTTCCCTTCCACACATGTTCTCACTCATGCATCTCACTTAGTTGCCCCCTCTCATTCTGTTACTTTCTGCATGGCTGTATACTAGAAAATGTTCTAAGTGGAAGTCAGCTTGGCTGAACGCAGGGAGGACAAAGGCCATGGGTCCCAGAGGGAGTCACAGAGGACAGCAGGGCCCAGATCACACAGGGCCTTGAAAGCCCAGTGTGCAGTGGGAAGTGGCCAGAGAGTGGTCACAGAGGATGGCAAATGTAAATAAATATGCTGCTACTATGAAGAGAATGAAAGGGTTGTGGGCAAGAGTGAAAGCTGGAAGATCCCCTAGACAGAAAGGTTTTAATGGTTTACCCTTAGGCAATTCACAGAATAGATTCGGGATTTATTTTAGAGGTACAGTTGACAAGACTTGCCTATGGGTTGGATGTGAGAAGTGAGACTAAAAGAGAAATAGAAATCCAAGTTTCAGCCTTAAGCAACACCACCTCACTCTCTATTTCATTGTTTTTCTCCCTTCTTTCTTTTCCTCTTTTCTTCATTCACACTATGGCAGAATCTGGAATGTTCACATGGCCAAGTTAATTGACCTGCTCGGGTCTCAATTCAGAATTCACAAACTCCAGAAATTTTCCCTGAGGTCCCCATACTGAGGCAAAGGCACATTCATATGATATGTGACCCTGTCTCTCTCCTGGCATCAATGTGACCCTGTCTCTCTCCTGGCATCAATGTCTACATTGTTCACAGGACTTCTAACACAGGGTTCCAAGTGTGGACTCTAGAGCTGGTTTACAGTAGGTTTGTGTCCCAACCCTGTTACTAACCAGCAGAGTGAATCTGGCAGATACTTAAGGAAGTCTCAGTTCCTACGTCTGTGAAGCGCAGATAACAAAACTGTCTACCACACAGAAAATTTTGCTTGAGATGACATACATAAAAGACTTAGCACAATACTAGTACAGAGCAAATGCTAGATAAGTGATAGCCATAACGCTATTATCACTGTGATTACTTTGCGTTACCCACCTTCATTTAAGCAGGATTTCTGCAGAATATCAGAAATCAAATGAAAACAGAAAATACCTAAATAATTCAGACCTAGAAAAAAAATTAACCCTCTGTAACAGACAGTCATGATGGATAAGTTGATTTATTAGCCAATTCAGATAAATGCACACTAGGCAGTCATTGTTACCATCTATTGTCAGTCTCCACTTTCTCCACCTAATTTGGGCTTTGATTATCAAGCCCAAAGATAGCACTTACCAGATTAGGTGGACACACCAGGTTATTTTTCTTTGAGGTCTCACCTGGGCAGGTGCATGTACAAAAGACAGAGAGGAAGGAGACTAGAGAGGTTAGAGAGGCTGAGGGCGTGGCCCGTGGCCCTCTTAATCATTCTTTACTTCCTTTTTTTTTTTTTTTTGTAAACAAGACGACTGACTTGGCGTCGTCCACCACCACATCCGCGGCAAGAGCTGCGACGCCTCCTCCCTGGCGTCCGCTTGCAATAGCCCAGTTTTCGCCCTACACATCTGTGGCTTCTGTGGACACATTAGCAACTGATGCTTTTAGATCCTAGTCGCCCGCCTTTGCCAAGGCGGTTTAGAGGTCATCTGGAAAGTCTTTGCCTCGAATCACCCCGATTCAGAAGGCTAACTCATTCCTTCTGCGGTGCTTTGGGACTCCGCGCCCTCCTCTGGTCCTGGTCCAGGTGCACAGGAAGCGCTAGGGGAGGACGCAGGTGACCAAGAGAAGGAGGTGTGCGGGGAGGTGAAGGTGCCCCAGTGATTAACTCAGAGATCGAACCTGCAGACCAAGCGCAAAGTAGAAACTGAAAGTACACTGTCGGCTGATCCTACGGAAGTTATGGGAAAGGCAAAGCGCAGAGCCGGGCCGTGGTGTGTGACGCCCCCCTTGGGATGGATGAAACAGCAGGCGCGGCGTGGGTAGGAGGAACCAGCTGCAGAGACTGCCCTAGCCGGCACGGACTCCCCGCAACTCCGCGGAAGACCAGGGTCCTGGGAGTGACAATGGGCGGTGAGAGCTTGCTCCTGCTGCAGTTGCGGTCATCATGACCACGCCCGCCTCCCGCAGACCATGTTCCATGGTAAGCGCTCCTCTCCCGGGCGCATAAATTCGCTCGCGCGGCACGCCAGGGTACTCTGGGACATGCTGCGGGGCCCCGCGCCCAGGCGCGTCCGGGAAGAGCCCGGCCTTGCACTTTGGATCTGCGGAGAGCCCTGGCTGCTCTGCCCTTGGGCAGCCGGCAGCCTCACCCGAGTACTCTGGCCCATCACCACTTGCACCTGGGGCTGCTGAGCCTGGTGGGCTGCGTGAGAGAAGCAGTCCCCTACGCCTGCTCTCTGTCCCGAGACCGGGCGCTGCAGCCTCCGAGCCGCTCAGCGGTGGCAGCCCGCGCCCAGATCCCAATGCTCTCCGTCAGTCTCCCCTCGCCAGCGCTGCCCGCTGTCAACCCGGCGCCCAACCCACCCTCCCCGGGCTCCTGGTCGCGCCACGGTACTCACAGGTGTCCCGGGATCGGCGAGGATCTGGGCTCTTGCAGCTCCAACCCCTTAGAGAAGCGAAAGCGAAGCTCCCACGGGACACGCTTTTAAACCTCAAGGGGACAGGTCTCTGGAAAACCCCGTTTTTCCTCATTGAGGCTGGGAGTTTCCAACTGGGGCTGTACCTTGTGTCTTTTGCTGGGAACCCAAGTGCTCAGGCTGGCACAAGGCCACTTTCGGGTTTTGGTTTCTTTCCTATATGGGTACTCATGGACGGAGGCAGGATTAACAGGTATAATTCTAAATTCTAGACCCTTGCCGAGATTTAGTCTATTTTATCTGTGCGAAATACGGACTTAAAATGGACAAGGGCAGAGTTGAGGCGAGCTAGATTCCCGTTGGCAGCCATATGGCCAAGGTAACGGGTCCAAAAGCTGACGGGAAGAAAAAAGGGGGAAAAGAGATGTGAGTGGAGAGGATTTGCTGAGGGAAATTCTACTTTTTTATAGTAAATATTTCCTTAAGCAAAAGGAGACGGGTGCGGGAGGGTGCCAGAATGGGGAGCAGATTGTTCTTGTGTTTGATGCCTGGTCTGTGCCCTTCCTGGCGACATCGTTAGATCAAGAGACCTATCCCTGCTCACAGGTATTAAAGCATCAAAAATTGACATAGTCAGGAAGTACCTGATCAGTAGCAAAGTAAAGGGGGGTGGGGAGCGGGTTTAGCGTATAGAAGATTTGTAATGGGCGTCCTCCAGAACTTTAATATAGAATTAGAAATTAGGTATATTCCTGTTTTCCTTACAATGCCCATGGATCTCCTGCAATTGCTTTTTTCTGGACCACTCCCAGATCTAATCTTTCCATCACCTCTGATCTGGAGTGGCGAGGTAAAACAAGAAAAGGAAGCTAAGGTGCCCATTACTAACAAGGAACCTCTATTTCCTGAAGTATATCTATGCTAATCGTGCATCATAAGTTATCAGCAACCAAAATATTAGAATTCTAAACTCCTAATAATAATAATTATGAGTGATTTTGATAATGATTTTTTTTCCAGTAGAGTTCACTAGAAGCTTAAGGATAGGGTTACTTTTTTGTTTTTTAACATCTTTAATGGGGTATAATTGCTTTACAATGGTGTCTTAGTTTCTGCTTTATAACAAAGTGAATCAGTTACACATATACATATGTTCCCATATCTCTTCCTTTTTGCGTCTCCCTCGCTCCCACCCTCCCTATCCCACCCCTCCAGGTGGTCACAAAGCACCGAGCCGATATCCCTGTGCCATGCGGCTGCTTCCCACTAGCTATCTACCTTACTACGTTTTTTAGTGTGTATATGTCCATGACTCTCTCCCGCCCTGTCACAGCTCACCCTTCCCCCTCCCCATATCCTCAAGTCCGTTCTCCAGTAGGTCTGTGTCTTTATTCCTGTCTTACCCCTAGGTTCTTCATGACATTTTTTTTTCTTAAATTCCATATATATGTGTTAGCATATGGTATTTGTCTTTCTCTTTCTGACTTACATCACTCTGTATGACAGACTCTAGGTCTATCCACCTCATTACAAATAGCTCAATTTCGTTTCTTTTTATGGATGGGTAATACTCCATTGTATATATGTGCCACATCTTCTTTATCCATTCATCCGATGATGGGCACTTAGGTTGTTTCCATCTCCGGGCTATTGTAAATAGAGCTGTAATGAACATTTTGGTGCATGACTCTTTTTGAATTTTGGTTTTCTCAGGGTATATGCCCAGTAGTGGGGTTGCTGGGTCATATGGTAGTTCTATTTGTAGTTTTTTAAGGAACCTCCATACTGTTCTCCATAGTGGCCGAACCAATTCACATTGCCACCAGCAGTGCAAGAGGGTTCCCTTTTCTCCACGCCCTCTTCAGCATTTATTGTTTCTAGATTTTTTGATGATGGCCATTCTGACCGGTGTGAGATGATATCTCATTGTAGTTTTGATTTGCATTTCTCTAATGATTAGTGATGTTGAGCATTCTTTCATGTGTTTGTTGGCAGACTGTATATCTTCTTTAGAGAAATGTCTATTTAGGTCTTCTGCCCATTTTTGGATTGGGTTGTTTGTTTTTTTGATATTGAGCTGCATGAGATGCTTGTAAATTTTGGAGATTAATCCTTTGTCAGTTGCTTCATTTGCCATTATTTTCTCCCATTCTGAGGGTTGTCTTTTAGTCTTGTTTATGGTTTCCTTTGCTGTGCAAAAGCTTTGAAGTTTCATTAGGTCCCATTTGTTTATTTTTGTTTTTATTTCCATTTCTCTAGGAGGTGGGTCAAAAAGGATCTTGCTGTGATTTATGTCATAGAGTGTTCTGCCTATGTTTTCCTCTAAGAGTTTGATAGTTTCTGGCCTTACATTTAGGTCTTTAATCCATTTTGAGCTTATTTTTGTATATGGTGTTAGGGAGTGATCTAATCTCATACTTTTACATGTACCTGTCCAGTTTTCCCAGCACCATTTATTGAAGAGGCTGTCCTTTCTCCACTGTACATTCCTGCCTCCTTTATCAAAGATAAGGTGACCATATGTGCGTGGGTTTATCTCTGGGCTTTCTATCCTGTTCCATTGATCTATATTTCTGTTTTTGTGCCAGTACCATACTGTCTTGATTACTGTAGCTTTGTAGTATAGTCTGAAGTCAGGGAGCCTGATTCCTCCAGCTCCGTTTTTCATTCTCAAGATTGCTTTGGCTATTTGGGGTCTTTTGTGTTTCCATACAAATTGTGAAATTTTTTGTTCTAGTCCTGTGAAAAATGCCAGTGGTAGTTTGATAGGGATTGCATTGAATCTATAGATTGCTTTGGGCAGTAGAGTCATTTTCACAATGTTGATTCTTCCAATCCAAGAACATGGTATATCTCTCCATCTATTTGTATCATCTTTAATTTCTTTCATCACTGTCTTATAATTTTCTGCATACAGGTCTTTTGTCTCCTTAGGTAGGTTTATTCCTAGATATTTTATTCTTTTTGTTGCAATGGTAAATGAGAGTGTTTTCTTGATTTCACTTTCAGATTTTTCATCATTAGTGTATAGGAATGCCAGAGATTTCTGTGCATTAATTTTGTATCCTGCTACTTTACCAAATTCATTGATTAGCTCTAGTAGTTTTCTGGTAGCATCTTTCGGATTCTCTATGTATAGTATCATGTCATCTGCAAACAGTGACAGCCTTACTTCTTCTTTTCCAATTTGGATTCCTTTTGTTTCCTTTTCTTCTCTGATTGCTGTGGCTAAAACTTCCAAAGTTATGTTGAATAGGGTGGGCAACCTTGTCTTTTTCCTGATCTTAGTGGAAATGCTTTCAGTTTTTCACCATTGAGGATGATGTTGGCTGTGGGCTTGTCATATATGGCCTTTATTATGTTGAGGAAAGTTCCCTCTATGCCTACTTTCTGAAGAGTTTTTATCATAAATGGGTGTTGAATTTTGTCAAAAGCTTTCTCTGCATCTATTGAGATGATCATATGGTTTTTCTCCTTCAATTTGTTAATATGGTTTATCACATTAATAGATTTGCATATATTGAAGAATCCTTGCATTCCTGGAATAAACCCCACTTGATCATGGTGTATGATCCTTTTAATGTGCTGTTGGATTCTGTTTGCTAGTATTTTGTTGAGGATTTTTGCATCTATGTTCATCAGTGATATTGGCCTGTAGTTTTCTTTCTTTGTGACATCTTGTCTGGTTTTGGTATCAAGGTGATGGTGGCCTTGTAGAAGGAATTTGGGAGTGTTCCTCCCTCTGCTATGTTTTGGAAGAGTTTGAGAAGGATAGGTGTTAGCTCTTCTCTAAATGTTTGATAGAATTCGCCTGTGAGGCCATCTGGTCCTGGGCTTTTGACTGTTGGAAGATTTTTAATCACAGTTTCAATTTCAGTGCTTGTGATTGGTCTGTTCATATTTTCTATTTCTTCCTAGTTCAGTCTTAGCAGTTTGTGCATTTCTAAGAATTTGTCCATTTCTTCCAGGTTGTCCATTTTATTGGCATAGAGTTGCTTGTAGTAATCT